TCAAATCTAGTCTAGTCAAGTCAATTCTAGTCTAGTCAACTCTAGTCTAGTCAACTCTAGTCAAGTCAAGTCAACTCTAGTCTAGTCAACTCTAGTCAAGTCAAGTCAAGTCAAGTCTACTCTAGTCCAGTCAAGTCAAGTCAACTCTAGTCTAGTCAATTCTACTCTAGTCTAATCAAGTCAACTCTAGTCTAGTCAAGTCTACTCTAGTCAAATCAAGTCAACTCTAGTCTAGTCAAGTGAAGTCTACTCTAGTCCAGTCAAATCAAGTCTACTCTAGTCAAGTCAATTCTACTCTAGTCTAATCAAGTCAACTCTAGTCTAGTCAAGTCTACTCTAGTCAAGTCAAGTCAACTCAAGTTTAGTCAAGTCAAGTCTAGTCAACTCTACTCTAGTCAAGTCAACTGTACTCTAATCTATTCTAGTCAACTCTAGTCTAGTCAATTCAACTCTACTCTTGTCTAGTCAAGTCAACTCTAGTCAAGTCAAGTCATTTATATAGTGCTTTTAACAATATAGATTGTTTTAAAGCAGCTTTACAGTGATAATAGGGAATTAAAGTAACAGACATTGCTTTGGCTTTACAGCAGCTCTAGATTCTGCAACTCCGTTGCAAATATCATTAGTTATTAACTTATTAACCATTCTAACAGAAAACCCCTTAATTACAAAGGTTCATAGCAACATAGTGTCGGCCCAGATCCAACGGATGTGTGGATTTCACATGTGAGCCGGATCTGGGCCGGACCATGTTGCTCTCTTGACATCAGATGGAAAGGAAAGTGGTTTCAGAGGCGGAGCCAGTTATTACATTTTATTTTCTTCCTAATAACATACTGAAGATCATTCACAGAAAAACCAGGAACGTGAATTTTGACTTCATTAACCGCAGCATCGTCTCATTGCGTGACGTAAACGCTAATCAACATGCAGAGAGTGTTGCGTCTGCACCCTTCCCCGACAGTTCAAGCACAAATGGGTTTAAGAGCCCGTTTCCAGGTCAAACAAGCAGTGTGTGAGAGCCCAGACCAGCCTTATCAAAGCAGCGCAGAGATAAAGAGCAAGAAACATATTCACAAACACAGACGTTTAATCATAAAGGAAGAGGCTACAGGACACAACAATGGCAACAGAGAGAGAACCAGCCAAAGGCATGCTGGGAAACTAACTCTGCTGACGTAACTTTGGAGGACACGATGAGCTTGTAGCTGCTTTTTTGGGGGACGAGACCAGTTCAAAACAAGAGGAGCGATTGTGATGATTGTGATCTGTTGTGATTATGATGCTCAAATAATTCACTTTTAATAAAGGGAATATTCACCCGGAATAAAAGCTGTCTCTTTCAAATAAAAATCTGACCGCTAAAGAAATATTATTATCAAAATAAATATTACCAAAAATATGGAAAATGTACGACTTTGAAAGAGCTATGCTCACCAGGACTGCATTTATTAAATCACAAATACAGTAAAAACTGTGAAATATTATTCCAATGTAAAACAGCTGTTTTGTATGTGAATATATAGTAAAGTGTAATTTATTCCTGTGATCAAAGCTGAATTTTCAGCATCATTACTCCAGTCTTCAGTGTCACATCACAAATTGAATTGAAACATTTCTGATTATTATAACATTGACTTCTTTAAAACATTAAAAAAATATTAATTCCAAACATTGACAAGTAGTGTATAATCTTGAATATTATGGAATATATCAAATTCACGACATTTTTTTTTTTTGGTTCCCCATTTGAAATATCTAGGGCATTTTTAGCACTTTCGGTGCCATTTTTATCTTTTTTTACTTTCAGCAGCAGAGTGAGTTTGGGACAGATGGTCTAAAATGCAGTCAGAGGCCAGAAAATCAGAACAAAAGGAGCAGGAACTGAAGGTACTCGTGATCAGGACTGATGTTCTATATAAAGTGGAGATGTTTTAGCTTGCGTGTTTAGTCTGTGCATGTATTGACATCGGTACGGCACAAGGAAGGAAGGTCATCTCGGGATTCACACACTGTTCTGACTGCACAAACACAAACACTGAGACTCCACACTATTCTCCGACGCACAGCGCTGACGTAAGACTGCCGTTTGGCAGCTTTTCTCCAGTGACGTCTGGAGACATCAGCTAATAATAAAGCAGAAGCGTTCTTAGCATTGATGCTAATACAAATGCGTTCGGAGAAAATGATCAATTCAAATGGCCAAAATGATACAAGTCAGACAAGGGTGCCTCATATTTCACGTGCACTCAACGTTTAGAGGATATGATTGCGTAAAGATTCATACAAAGTGTGTTTACTGTTTATCTGACACTAAAAATGATGATTTTATCTTTTTTATCTCTTTTTTTTACAAAAATTCCATAAGCAAAGAAATGAAGAGACAATGATAATTCATACATGAAACAATGTGACTGTCACAGTGAATTTTATCCTGATTCGGAGGATTTTCAATGCCAAGCTTTATAAGTTATATAAGTTATTATAGGTTTTTTTTATTATTATTTATTTTATTTATTTATTTATTTATTTTTAAGGATCATTATATGAACATGAGCATTCAAATGTATAATTATATATTACATAACAATGAATGAATAATTAATATTATAATTGTAATAATTAAATACATATGTACATATATGCATACATTCTAAATGCTCATATTCATGTAATGAGCATATATATATATATAGATATACCCACTGAGTGTGTGTGTGTGTGTGTGTGTGTGTGTGTATATATATATATATATATATATATATATATATATATAATATATAAATAATAGTATATATATATATATATAAATGTTTTTTTAAGATTCATTATATTATTATAAATATTAAAATTATATTTATATATATATATTACATAATAAAAATGAATAAATAGATATACCCACTGAGTGTGTGTGTATATATATATATATATATAAAAGTTTATTTCTTTATTTTTTAAGATTCATTATATTATTATGAACATTCAAATATGTATATATGTATTCAAATATGTTTATATGTATTTTACATAATAAAAATGAATAAATGATGAATAAATGAATAATTGTTTGTAGTAATAATAACGGACACCCATATTTTGAGCCTTGAAACACACCTCTAACCACTGTACAACAACAATATGAAAAAAATCATAAAAGGTGGATGAACATGTATAAAACCTTGAAAGCAAAACTGACAAAAAGTCAGTAGTCAGTATATGACTCGAGTCTTCTGACGTCACATGATGCTGTGACTGCAGAACAGACTCAAATTGAAGTCACTATTCATTGAAAATCATCTCCTCCATTCATGAACATACTGACGATCACTGATGTCAAACCTGGCAGGTTCAACTTCACCCTAAATCACTGCGCAACACTGGGAAAAGTCATGAAAAGTTGCTGGAGTGACACTAGTTTTAAAGTAACATGTTTAAGAAGTCAGAAGCCTGAAAACCTGCCCATTATACGCAGGCTCATTATTAGTATTAGATGCCAAATTGTAGCACTAATATTGCTATTACAAGCTAAAACGCTCATTAATTCCTAATCTCAAGCACAATTAAAGGGTTTGATATTCCTCCGCATGTCTCCCTCTCTCCGCCTCGGCTCTTTTCTGCGCGCTGAGAGAAAGACAAAGACTCTGGGAGAGGTGCTGGATAGTGGGAGGAGAAATCTTCTCCTCTCGCTTCATCTCTGCGCTTAATGCAATCGCTGGCGTTTGACTGACAGGCATAACCAAAACAGAGCGATGCAAATAGCAGCGGCTTTTTTTCTTCCTCCACGCGTTATTAAAATAACCCCACTTTTCAATGTGGCTTAATAAGCTACGGCTGTTACCGGAACAAACGCACGGGCCTATCAGCCGTTAGCCGAATCCTCTCAAACGCCAGAGACTGGCACGGGAAACGGGCACGCTTCAAAACCGAGAGATAATGCATAAATTTAGCGCCGTGCCCACACGTTCTCATGAGTTGCGTGTTATTTATTTCATTTATTCTCGTTTTTTTTTTTTTTCCCCTCAAGGATTCACACTTTGTGAAACATTTCCGAGTGATTGGAAGCCAAATGCATGGCGAGTCGCATGGCAACAGACTCGCTGTAGTTTCGAGACACCCCCCCCACCCCCCCCCCGTCCTTCTGCCCGACTTTCCAACCGAGTAAAACTGCGGCACAATCCAGGCGAAAGCGCAGGAACCGAGGGGCAAAGAAGGGGGAAGGGGGCGGCATGCAAATTATCCAACCCTAAACAACACTCAAGTCTGAGGAAAACAATAGCAGCCATTGAAAACATGAAGACACACTGGGCCACGACACCGACTGCACTGACACACACTCTCGGTCCTCCATCTGTGCTTCACATCCCGATATCAACGCTTGGGATAAAACACAAATGCATGCATGCCGTGCGGAAAGCGTGCACAGGAATGAGCAGCGCGATCCATATGTTGCAGTGGTTTCTTCCTGAATCCACCGCCGGGGTCAAGGTCATTTATTTTTTGTCGCTTCTAATTATTTATTTATTTGCCGGCTCTTTTTTTTCCCTTCTTCCCCGCAGGAAGAAGGGAAAACATTCATCAGAGTCGGAATTAAAAACAGCTCCGACGTAACGAAACGCCACGTTTTATAAAACATGTGCTTTAACAATGCAGATCTGCAGGTGTGTGTCGCACGAATTATGCATGAGTGTGTGTTTGTGCAGAAAACAAGACGATCAAAACTCGCAGTTCTCACAGCAAGTGAACTCTGACTTGCATGTGTGTCACACACACAAACCTGAAAAAGTCTGCACAAATATCTCACACACACAGTCATGACACAACAATCAAAAGATGCAAAATGTCTCTCACACACACACACATACACCTAAAGAAGAAGTTTGGCAGGTCAAAGTCACTAATATCTCCCCACACACACACACTGCATATTCAAACCAAGCTCATAATCACTCTGTGACAGCGACAGAGGCCGTTCCACACTTGTGTTTCATGTGACATACTTGAGCCGGAGAAATGTCCACTTCCTAGAGACGTCGGTCCGTTGTTCTTCCCGCTGCTGACAGGAGGGGAAAACATCTACAAAACAATCATGACAACACATTAAAAACTTCCACAAACCGGCTCTGAATGAGAGAACACAACACACACACACACACACACTGGTTAAAGGCAATATTACAATTCAGTCTGAGCACAACATTATGCACTGTTTGACATCATAAATGCATGCATAATCTTACTGTTAATTTGATGAATAATATAACCCTCTAATGCGATTGCAAAATCAAAACCGAATTTCACATAAGCACATAAACTGAATGCCAGTTCAGCCCTCGACTGTTCTGTGTGTCATATTTGTGGAACTGTGGCTTCATAAAAACACATTTCCTGAGTGAAAACTTCCCAAAAGCATTTCTCACAGGATGCACATTTAGCCTTTTTTATTGTTTTTACTTTTGACACTGAACCAGATGAAGACATCATCAGTCCACTAGAATCAACTATAATCTCAGAATCATCAAGGAATGCTAATGGGATTTTTTTTTTTCAGCATTTGGAAGAAATCCTAATGGGATCAAACAAGAATCCTTTAAGATTCTAGATCTTTTATTTGTTCTTCTTGTCTCTAGAACTGCATTTTTGATCCCATTAGAATATAATCACGAGAAATTCCATTAGAATTCCTTAAGGATTTTTTTTTAAAGGGTCAACACAACATTCATAATACTCTATATTAAAGAAAAGGGAAAAAAACACAAGAAAAGACTGAATAAAGTGGGATATACTACCATTGATGTGGGGAACATTTTCAAATCGCTGTTTCGCATCTATAAGACAACAGAATTACTAATGCAACATCACATCTATCAAATCCACATAAGCTTTTGCAACTTTCTTTCAGATTTCAAATGCAATTACGCGGCAAAAAAAAGTCATCTTACAACACTTCTACACAAACATCTACGCACAGAAACACAATGAAATGTGACAAAACCAAACAAAGTGTGATCATTGACCTGCAGCGTGGAGACGTAAAGTCACTTACCGCGCTGAAATCCAGCAAATCGCTCAGTTCTTTATCCGTCCCTAACGCGGCCATTCTCTGATGATGATGATGGTGATGATGATGGTGATGATGCATTTTTAGAAATATCACATAAACCTAAAAACATGGAAACAGATCGCAATGAGAAAACACCCGATCAGGAGGAGCGTGTCTGATCTTCAGAAACACACACGCGCGCGCACGCGTTCGCTCTCTCTCTCACACACACTCACACGCACGCACACACGGACCAACGGCACGATCGAGCCCCAAAAAATCCACTCTGCGTTAAAAAGAGACTGTGGATCAGAGGATCATTCTTCCTCCAGGTGAAGTGGTCGTGGACGCGCAGGTGTCCGGTAACGCGATCACACACTCGAGATGAAGAAAGTCTCTCCAAGTGTCCCTCCGGCGCGCGGCTTCAACAATCCGAATCAACGCGGCCGATCAATAACTGGGTGAGATCGGGGATTAAACGAACACTCGTGCCGCTCGTGGAGTGTGTTATTGACAGGACGTATCGCTCAGCTCGACTTCAGTGCGCCTACTGCAGGAGCGCTTCATGCAGACAAACACACTCCGGAATACCGCGCGGAGAAGCACAACTTTCACTGACACAACCTCGTATTAAACGCTTCACCGTCTGATCGAGAGCGCGAAGGCGTTGGTTCGACTTCTGAAAATTATTGAATATTTGCGCGCGCGTCCGACCGCGGAAACCACCAACTTTGGGTCACTTTAATATTTTTATAATTAAAAAAAGTTTTTTATGCGAATCTGTGGATGGTTACATTAATAAGATGAATAAGAATAAACAAATAGGTCAGCACAATATGCATATAAATTTGTTAAAGAATAGAAATACAACAACAAGAAATTGATGTTGTGAATAGTTTCAATATTGCTATTTAACATTTATAAGACAACAGAATTGCTCATGCAACATCAAATGCTTTCAGCTTTCTAAAGCAAAAAAAATAAAATTAAAATTGTACACTTTAAGGCCCGTTCGCACCAAGAACATAACTAAAAAGATAACTATAACGATAACTACATTAGCGCTCGTGCTCTTTAAAGCAGGATGGAATCTGATTGGCTGTCAATATTTTTATTGTTCATCAGCTGGGGAACAAAATAGTTCTGAAAGGGATTACAATTACTGTATATAATTTCTCTGTGCCAGTTGTGTTCGTGGGCTCGGTTATTCTTGTATAGAACTATATCTTTATAGTTCTCATCCTTGGTGCACTCTTGAAATATGCTGGGTTATGTCAACCCATGTTTGGGTCAAATATAGACAAACCATTGGTAGTGAGTAAACAATAACAGAATTTTGAATGAACTGTCCCTTTAAGTTCACTCAAACACTATAAAAAACGTTGGGTTGTTTTAATCCATGTTTGGGTCAAATATAGACAAACCATTGGTTTAAATTTGTCAGCATTTAAAACAACCCAGCCTTTTTTAGAGTGTTTGAGTGACCTTAAAGGGACAGTTCACCCAAAAATAAAAATTCTGTTAATATTTACTCACCATAAAGTTGTTCCAAACCATGAATTTCATTTTTTTTTTCTTTCCCCAGCTGAACACAAAAGGACGATATTTTGAAGAATTTGGTCCCCATTGACTTCTATAGTATAGGAGAAAAAACTCAATGGTGCCCAACTTGAGGGTGAGTAAAACATGACAGAAAATTAATTTTTGTGCGAACTATCCCGTTGAGATTCAGCCCCTCACACATATCTTTCTCAAAGCCCTTCAAACCAGAGGAACAAACACATTCTGGTAATATTCGAGTAAAATGTGTTTGTTAACATGACTGAAACAATGGCTGATATTTTCTCTTCAAAAGCACTTTCCCAAACACCTGCGACTTCATCTGTCAAACACATCAACGCAAACTGATGCAGTCTGATTGAAATTGATGTTTGATGTGGCTCAAAGTAAATTAAAAGGTGGGTTAATTTTCGAAAGCTAACAGGAAAAACCTGATGATAAATATCACCGTGATCAGAATCTGCAGTTTGCATCTGGATCATCATCAGTTTAACTGATCCCTGGTTTCAATGCATGGTTATGGCTTTCATAAGAAGTATTTAATAAGGTTGTATTGGTGGATCACACACACACACACACACACACACACACACACACAGGCCTCATGTGCGTTTCTTTAAGAGGTCTGGTGTGTGTTATTTCACACATCTGCACCCAAACCTTCCTGTGAACCACAGAAATATCAGCACGCATATGAAGATGTGGATTGTTGCAGGGTTACAGACTTGAGTCTCGAGGAAAGAGGTTTCCAGGCCAATCCTGCATCTGTCAGAGGAAATCTAGAGGTTTAGATCATCTTCATAAACACAAACATAAGACTGAGAGCATGATCACCTATAAAACCATTCCCTTATTATGAAACGCTCATCCAAGAACGTGTTTTAAACTGCTGATGCTGTTCAGGTGAGTCAGGTAACTGATCAATGAGCCAATCATCTTGGGGATAGAAACGCATCACTTCCTGTTTGGCTGCAGCGCCTCCTGGTGGATTTGAAGATATTCAAGATGTAGTTTAAGTCCTAAAGTGACTCAACATGCAAAAAGTGTCACAGCATCTTCTTCACGGGTAGACTTCTTTAGTGTTTACTTGCGAACGATGAAGATTAAAAAAAAAATAACTGAAAAAGAAAAATCTGACATGCCAATATTGCTCATATAACAACAGAAGTGTTATTCAAAAGTTAATAACAAAGAAGAAAAAAAAACACGAAAATTGATCCTGTTGGGGTGCTAAGGAGTCTGGTTAGTCTGGTTAAACCCTGCTGGTAGATGTTGTAACTACATCAGAAAGTTTAAAACACACGCGAGTGATTCAGAGAATGTAAAGTTCTTCGAAAAAAAAAATTGCTCTATTGCTATATATATATATAATTTTAATGAAATATATATATATATATATATATATATATATTTAATTTAAATGAAATATTTTAAATATATATCTTCAATTTATTTTCAAATAATATATATATATATATATATATAGTATATATATTATTTGAAAATAAATTAAAGATATATATAAAAATATTTCATTTTTTCATTTTTCAAATGCAAAAATGCGCTATACAGGTGAAACTCGAAAAATTAGAATATCATGCAAAAGTTCATTTATTCCAGTATATATATAAATTTATTCCAGTATATATATAAATAATATATATATATATATATATATATATATTATTTGAAAACAAATTAAATTAAAGATATATATAAGAATATTTCATTATATTTATGATTTGCCTAACATTCAGTCTAAGTTTTAGAGGTTCTTAAAATGATTAAAATTGTGTTTTTTTTCACACCCAAATTGTTTCATAAGTTGAGTGTGACTGAACAAATAAAAGATAAACAGAAAATTGATTCAAAAGTTAAATCGTAATAAAATCGTGAACATTTTTTTCCTGGAGCACACAAATGTATTAGAGGAAGATCTAGAAATTATATATAGAGACCTTTTTCCAGTAATTTTATAGACTTTTTCAGTTATTCAGAGGCATGTAAACCACAGTATTTATCAGACTGCAGCATTAATAACTGAACCATAAGCAGAGAAACATAAGCACAGGCTTCACATGTGACCACAGCTGTGGAAACAGAGAGCGCTGTGGAAACTTCACACAGATTCATGCAGAAATGTGGCGGTAATAAATACAATGGGGTCTCAGCACCCTCGGCTCAGAGATGCACGACAACATTACAACTGTTCATGGATTCATTTCTGTACAGCTCTGTTCACTTAAATATAAACCGGACCGAGTGTGTGCAAGTCCCATGATCCGAACGGGATCTCATGCCTGTTGCACGATAAATGCAAAAAATGCAATATACAGGTGAAACTCGAAAAATTTGAAAATCGTGCAAAAGTTCATTTATTCCAGTAATTCAACATAAAAGGTGAAACTAATATATTATATAGACTCAGTACATGCAAAGTCAGTTATTTCAAACCTTTATTTGTTATAATTGTGATGATTATGGATTACAGCTTATGAAAACCTTTTCACAAAATTCTAATTTTGAATAAGCTGCAAGCCATAATCATCACAATAATAACAATGTAACAATGTTCATCTGTAACAATGCAGTGTTTACAGTTGGTCCGATTGTATTTTTATGTATTTGGTTACTTGTATATAAAACACTGTGCATCCAAACTATACAAACTAACAGTGTTTTGGTGTAAATCCATCACTCAGAGGTTAAAATGAACTTCAAGAACCTTAAAAAAAAAAAACGAAACAGAATATAAATGTCGCACGAGACGAGAAGATCATTAATAATAACGTCTTAAATTTAGTCGCTTCTCATTCAGATGATTACTGATATGATGTCTTGTTTAGAGCCTGAAAACAACAACGAGTAAGTTCCTCCTGAGGAGAGCGAGATTAATGCACAAATGTATTTCTGAAGCACACAATGCTAACATGTCTTAATACTGACACAATGAGGATACACACTAAGCCTTTAAGCCGGAGACTCTCCGCGTCTCCAGAAAGCAGATTTGAGATTGTACTTCATTATCTGTGCTTGACATGTAGATCTACATATAAAGGTTGTAATGCGGCGTGTAACGAGACGGCCTCTTGCATTTGTCGGTGATTGTGTGTTAAAAGCTCAGACGGCGAGCGCAGATTTAATCAAGGATCAAATGGATCTCGCTCGGACGGGTTTATCTGGGTCAGCCCTGGAAAGTGTTTGGATATCATGCGCAATTAGGGATCAGACGGTAAGGGATTGGCCACAAACGTCAGAGATCTCCGAGACGCATCAGAGATGACGGAGAGACACACTCATCCAGGCCTCTGTTGAGCTTGTGATGAGAAATGTTTGAGATCATAGAGATGTGTATCTGTGTGTCAGTGTGAGCCGAGATCTCGTCTGACGCAGAACACACACACACACACACACACACATACATGTCTGGTCACTCCGGGGGTTTCTCTGGAGAACAACATTACAACAGGAAAGCCTGAGATTCTCCAGTTGTTCTACATTCAATCTCATTCACGTATTTTACAACTATATATTTATATACTTTTTAAAGTAATAGATATTTAAAGCATTAATTCATAAGAATATTTATTATATAATATATATATATATAAATTATTTTATATATATATATATATATATATATACACACTGTAAAAAATATCCGTGATTTTATCAGTAAAAGACTGTAAAAATGCTATAGTGCAAAACTGTTAATTGGTTAAGAGAAAGTTTCCGTACTTTATACGGTAAATAACTGTGATATAATTTTACAGTAAAATACTGTTAAATTTACAGTTTTGAAAGTGAAAAGAACAAATCGTTGTATATTTTACAGTGAAAAACCGTGAATTGACATTCCCACAATTCCCTGTGTGACACTTCACAGTTGATGTATTTTTGTTGAAATAACTATAGTTCCTCATAGTTTTATTGTTTTTTTTCTAATCAGTTATGTACATTAGGGTTTTATGTTATATTTAATGTTGTTAAATTAATGTTTATTGCATTTTTTAATTTCATGTGTGTTACCATGATGGTGTTTAATGTTTGTGTGAATGACACTGTGCAGCTTCTTTATATAAGTATTACTTAAATAAGTAATCATTTATGATGAGCTGTGATTGCTCAAGTAACTCTCATCACTGCTGTGATGATTGATGGTTGTCAGTGTATTATAATGGTCTAAAACAGATATCAATAAGTTGGTAAATCAACATTTTATCAGAAAATAAAATACGGTTTATTACTGTAAATTCTAAGTTAAGTCTGTAAATGTTCCTACCGTATTTTTAACGGTAAAGTTCTGGCAACCACAGCTGCCGTTTTTTTACCGTAAAATTTACGGTTTATTTTATACAGTGTATATTATTTTATATATAAAAACATATAGAATCATATATTTTAATATCCATATAGTAATATATATATATATAAAATAATACATATCCATAAATATGTAATCTATATATAAAATAATACATATTTACATTATTAATATATTTTATTTAAAAAAAAATTATATATATATATATATATATATATATATATATATTAACTATATTTTAATATATATATATAGTTAATATGACAATTATATATTTTAAATATATAATAATAATAATAAATGATAATTTTGCATTTAAATTTATTATGTTTTAATATATGAAATATTCTTTTAGTCTTAAAAAAGCAATTACTGTTCAGTAATTTCTGTAAGGTTTGAAATGAGGGTTCCTATGATTTTTTTTATTTTTATTTTCAGTCGTTTCAGAAAAATAAAACATTGATGTTTATCAAAAATAATTTGTTTGTTGAATATGACCATTCGATAAGCTTGTGGTCAGTAAAAAGCTGGAAACTGATACATTTTTGATGATTAGAAGTTTTAAAAGAACAGCATTTATAAATAAAATAAAAATAATATATATATATATATATATATATATATATATATATATATATAACTTCTAATCATTAAAAAAGTATCAGTTTCAAGTATATATACACACAGTATATATAGTTCACAGTATTATATGTGAATATATAAGAGATTCTATGGGAAAGAATGTGAATGAGCTTTTCAGAAGAAAGGACGTTCTGTCCCACTTGTGTAAGACGTTGAGAACGGGAGCTTGAAGGAGCAGCAAGTGCATTAACTTGAGTTCCTCTGCTTTTCCAGCTTGTAGGGAGAGAATGAGTCGTGGTCAGGAATGATGACATAAACATCCCGCTTTTCCTTCAGAAAACACAACCCTTGCCAAACACCTGCGGCCTCCGTCTGAGGGCAGCGAGGGCCGGTCAAACGCCTTCATACTCTTTGATTCTCTTCACTTAGAGACTGAGTTACAGCACATTCCTCCAGACAGAATCTCCTCCTAAACATTCCCATCCCGACCTCCGCGGATAACTGTCCCGTTCACTCCCATAGCCCAGCTGGGGCATCATCAGCTTCGGCAGTTAAAACAATGTGTCTAACAGACCGATCCAGCGGTCGACACACAACCTTTCCACCGCCCACCAACCTCTCTCTGTGTGTGTGTCGGAGTTTATCCCAGAAATGTGTTATTGGACGCTGAATGCCAAGCAGATGGTACTGCGGTTGGTACAGGTGCCACAGGCACAGGAAAAAGGGAAAAAATCCTGCCAGAGTTCAAGTCCAGGGCACATCCGTCCCGGAAAAAAAGAAAGAAAAGAAAAAAACAGGTTTGTCCAAATGAAAAGGTTTGTAGAGCGAAATGAAACTAATGCCTCGTTTAAGACTCAAAGGCCAGAGTTGCAAGCTGCTTACTAAAATATTTTATAAGCTATTGTGTAAGCTGACATATCAACACTGCATTCCTCTCGCGGACAGTGGCCTATTTTACTGCGCATACATTCTAATGCATTAACAACAGCAGAAGAACATCACAAATGTACAATGCAAATACTCTTCATGGACTGTTTTGACATTTGTAAGAAACAAAAAGAAAAACTTTTGGGGTCTGTACATTATTTTATTTCATTTTTTTAATAATAAATTCGGATATATTTTTTTGCAAAAAAGTCAGACTTTTCTCAGTCAGAGGAACCATCATTTCAACAGAAATTGACAATTAAATGCTTAAATAGGTGGTTTACTGCTTTTTTCTTCGCATGATTGTGTTTATGGGGTGCAATATAACATGTATTCGAGCTTTTTTTTTTTTTTTTTAAAGTCTTATTTTTCATTAATTTCAACTTTATTGTAAGCCGTTTTCTCCTCTGTCATTTGAACGCCTCGTTGACTTCCTGAGTCTATGAAACCACTCCCTCAGAAACAGGCAGTGGGCTCAGATTGGTTAGTTTGGGCCGATGTGTTGTGATTGGCTAAACTTGAGTGCACGTTGTCCGGAAAATTCACGCCCATTACCTTTACGGCGAACTTGCATGTGTTGTTCCTATCAAATGTACTGTAAATAACGGTGTCGATACTGCAGTATCTGAGCCAGATTCAGACCCAGAAAGCGGCGATGAAGAGAGGCAAGCAGAACCTCACCACACACGGCTCTTACTAAACGTTTCTGAATGGTAATTTGCCTATATATTTTTTACGTTTACGTTCTTGATCAAATCGAAAAATAACACCATAGAAGTATAAATACATGAAAAATACATTTACAACATTAGTACATATGCAAAATTCAGGTGTATAATGTTTGTACGCGTTTTTCGTAGACACAAAATAGCAACTAGTAGCCTAGTGGCTATAAAGCCAGCGCTGGCATTTGAAAAAAAAAAAATAAATAACAAGGCTACGTCTGGAATTATACATGCAAATACATTTAAAATGATGAAGTCTTAGCCTACTTACAGGTTGTGGCCCAAAAACTGCTGCCTCTGGTTTTAAAGTTGGAACTGCTTCACGTTTTAGTAACAGTTTCTTGTTGAATCCGGCATTGAATTCGTGGAGATTCTGGAAGCTGTCTTCCATAAAAGAGAGCTAAATTACGATCGTCATTTTCAGGAACATAATCAAACATAAATTGTATCCATTGTTGACGAAGTACAGCGTCCTTGGGAAGCTCGAACACAGAAGACCTGGCAGCTGAGAGAAAACAACACATTCGACAAACCACAGAAATATGCGCATATCCATTTGCATATTCCGGAGGGAGGGTTGATGCAAATGTGTGGGTTAGTGACGTCTAAAACCCGGCTGTAGTCCCAATCTAGTCGTTTTTGTAGGCAATATACTTCCTGATTTTTAAAAGATGATATCTCTGCTTACACTGAACTTTCAGCGCTGCAACTGTACAGATACTGTTCATGCCCCAACAGCAACATTACACACTATTTAAAATGAAAAAAGTGAAATCACAATCAACCACCCCTTTAATATAATAATTACTGCACAATTAAAAAAATAATGCTGTTTTGACTAAATGAACACAAAAAAATGCATATTTTCAATTATATATATATATATATATATATATATATAAGTGTTGTCAAATCAATTAATCATGATTAATAAAATCAATGTATTATTTTATATATATATGTGTGTGTGTGTGTGTGTGTGTGTATATACACATGCTATGTAAAAGAATGTAATCGCAATTAATCGAATTGACAGCACTTACATATATATATATATATATATATATTTTACATGAATCATTTGATCGGTTTAGGCGGTTTGAACTGATTCATGTAACGAATCAAACTTGCCAACTCTAAAGCTGTTTTTATAGATAACACATTTATGACAAATAAAAAAAATTGCACATTAGATAATCACAAGGTTGCTCAATTTTATATATCAGTATTAAAATCATCACAAATATATGGTGGTTATTGGATGTATTGGCCAGCCCTAATCCGAGCGCAGGTCACACGTCAGTCATGATTATCGGGAGCCCGACAGCACAGAGTCGTTCTGGTTCTCCTCACGGGCTCATTTGCATCTCACAGGCCTAAAGCTCATCATAAAGTGCATGTTGAAAGCGGGACCGGCTGTTGAAAGGTGGGTTTGATACAGGAAAAGTGCGGGCTCAGCAGATAGGCCTCTTTTTAAAATAATCTTCCTTTTGGGAGAGCGGCAGAGAGTGGCGCACTCCTCTTCCCGCAGACCTCGCTTTGGACGAGGAAATAAATGAGTGTTCATGTGGCCACGGGCCTCAAAGACTTGGCTTGATTCTCCAGCGCCGGGACGAGGCCCATGTGTGTGTGTCCCTCTGCCACCGTAGATACAGAAAAACGCCGATAAAAACTCTCTCGCGCGGCGGTTAGGGAGTCGGAGAGGCATTTGCTTCGCCTCAGATGAAGGTTTATTTACTTTGGAGGGAGAAGAAAGAGGAGAGGGCATCAGAAATTAGGTGCTGGGGTTAAAGCTGAAGACATTTTCAGGATGTTGGTTAATCCCGGAAGATCCGACGCACCAACATCACATTATACATCTGCATTCACAAACTTCACACGCACACTTTTAAAACAAGACTTTAATCGACGCCAATACTGACATGAGTGTGTGTATGAAGCCTATAGAACATCCCCATGTCTTTCACTAATGATTGGTTATGTGTATGATAAAAATCAAGTTTTTAATGTTGTTTGTGTGTCTATGTGTTGTTTCTAATATGCTTTAAGACAAATCATGTGTAAATCTAACACAGTCTCATCCCAAGAAGTCATATAACTGACGTCTTGGGACGTCTTTTGACCATACCGCCTTTTTAGGGCACCCTTAAACGTCAGTTACATGACGATCCCGGGCCGTCATTCAACTGACGCTTTACCTTTAACGTCGGTTAGGTGAAGGTGTAGGTTTAGGGGTAGGTTTAGGTCTGGGGTAGGGTTAGGATCCAATAACGTCATCTAACCGACGTTTAAGGGTACCTTAAAAAGGCGGATGTTGAGGTATGGTCAAAAGACGTCCCAAGACGTCAGTTATATGACGTCTTGGGATGAGACTGCGCTGGTAAATCAAAAGTCGACAGCATTGCTGAGTATTTTCTCCCAGCTGACATTCGACTGACATTAAACGTTTAAATGTTGTTCAAAATAATTTCAGTTTATGTAAAAAAAACATGAATTCAACGTCAAAACAACATTGAACACCAAATAGTTGAAGTGGTGTTGTTAAATCACTATGGATTCAACATAGAAATATCAAAAAATTTTGAGTTGTACGTCAAATCAACATTATTTGTACGCTACAACCTCAAAATTCAACGGTTATCCAACACTGGCACCTGCGTTGATTCAATAGTGACTCGACGTAAAAACGGCTTAAAACTGCAGTGAACCAAAGACAGTCTCAAAAACACGGTTTGAAATCGACCTTCAGATCAAAGTGTGATCGTCAACCAGTTGATCTCTGAGCTGAGTGAGTGAGTGGAGGCGGGTCTCATTTACATATTCATAGAACCACAAATACTAAATGAGGCAAGGGTGTCGAGTTACATTCAAGATATTTTAAGGCATGAAGACAAGGAGGAAACATTTAAAAACATCATTTTGGTGATTAAAGATGAGTTTTAAGGGTTAAATTATTGACAACAGGGTATTTTAAGACAAAGGGTTCTTTAAATTACATTAATAGAACGTTACACAACATTTTCAGAAGGGTTTGGAGCTTAGACATGATGTCAAATGCTCAAACACATTTTCAGGTCTAAATGTGAACTAATTGTGCATACTACAAAAAAATAAAAAATGTTGTTAAATGTCTGTAATACAAGTAACTTTTTATCATCTAAAATGTGAAATGACGTCTATTCCAAAGCAACTTACACAATGCATTTAATACCAAGCAAGCAGGCAATTTGGGACTTTTTTAAAAATGCAATAAAATCAAGAATGTGATTTGTTAATTCTCTAGAACAGGGGTTCTCAAACATTTTGGAGCCAGGGACCCCTTTCAGGGGAAAAAAATTTCCAAGGACCCCTCATATTTATAACAGTTATTGAGCACAAAGTTAATGTGTGAGCGGCTAATGAAATATTTTTACACAAAATTAATGGTCTCCACCCAGGGTACTACGCAGGAATTTCTAAATAGCCTACTGAGGTCCCAAAAGTGATCTTGCTAGGAATCACTTAGGATCCCTCACTTAGGAATTTTTGATGTTCTTGATCTACACATGTGCATTTTAAGGTGTTTTAAGGCCCCACAATTGGATAACTATAGATTTAGAAGCATGTCAGTGGGCAGTGGCATACATTTTTTTTTTTGTCAAGATGTCACGAAACACAATCACATATTCCAAACAGGAATGGCCTTAAAAGAGAAATGTTTCAATGATTAGGCCTATTCTGGACACAAATAAAGCCCATAAGCCTATAAATACAATGATAATGGCATTATGTTTAATAGGTGCGTGCGTTGTTAATTTGAGCTACTGTAATTAGCTAAAAAAAACATACAGTATATGTTAAATATATGAATCCATAATGTTAATCTCATGGGCACAGTATGTTTCTCTTGACCTGCTTTTTCCTTTGTTAAAGTTTTGCTTGATTAATACTTTGCAAACTGATTGTTTCAGTCGTTTTTTAAAACTTTTATCTAAAACAGCTGTTTAGTTTATGTTCATTTAGGCCTACATCTTATCTCGCACTTTATGACCGTTGACTGAAACGTCGTGCGGGGATTCGCATCGTGCGGGGAACTTTGAGTTCACTCCGACTCAAACATTTTGACATTGAGCTGTCGTTGTTAGTCTGCTGAAGCACCTCAGATGAGAAGGTCAGTTATCATCGCGATGTGCATCCGTGCAACCTCAATTGTGGGTACGGCCCTGTCACTATGCACTTTTATTTTGATAATGATCAGACTTCTAATGTCAAATCTACAGTAGCAGTGCTAGAACTGACTATTGTGCGCGCACGCGAGACGCCGGCGCGCGATTACGTGGGAATTTTTCTTCAGCAGTGGAAACAGGAATACTCTTATTTATGGTCATAGATAAGACAAGAGTGCATCATCCGAAACGGTAAAGTGTCCATTTTTTATTTGTGTATAGGCTACATTATAAATGACTACAAAATGTCATGCCTTTTAAAAATGCAGAAAAGAACCGGATGCGGGTTCATGCCGTCTCTCTGTCTCCTTTCTGGTGCACATCCCGCAAAATCAACAGCAGCGAATAGTCTACTTGACGCACAGACATAGATTATCTATCTATAGAAAACTTTAAGTGTCTACTTTGTATTGTTTGATGTTAAATGCATTACATAAGTTACTTAGGAATAAATAGCACGTTTTCAGATGATAAAGAAAACATGACTATTTCGCGGACCCCCTGGCTTTAGCTCACGGACAACCAGGGACCTCACTTTGAGAACCACTGCTCTAGAATCTTTATTTACTGACGAAAGCACAAAGAAAAGTTTACCAATGTTTTTACTGGCCAAATTAGATTCAAATGTATAAATATAAACAAATTCGATTTTGATGGCTGCAATTTCAAGGTGCATTGTGTAATATTTAGGAGAATTTGTTGACAGAAATGCAATATCATATACATATGGTGTATCAAGACCTTAGATAATGAACCGTTATGCTTTTATTACCTTAGAATGAGCCATTTCTCTCTACACATATCGCGGGTCCCCTTACATCGTCATGTTTCTACGGTGGCCCTGAACGGACAAATGCGTCTCATCACTATATGTTGTTCTTCATGCTAAAGTCAGCGAATAAAACACTGACACAATGATGAACAAGTAACAATAATATTTGCAATAACATATTATTTACTGAATAATTAAGTAAACCTAATTTCTTAATTTATCTTTGTAATAATAATAATACCTCATTGCTTAACTGGCGACTCTCTGCTGTCTCAGACGACGACATCACTTCCTATCGGCAACCGTAACTTCTGTTAGGTGAAATTCACAACCTCACCACTAGATTCCCGCTAAAAATTACACACTGCACCTTTCACCAGGTCCGTGCAAAAATAGAAAATAATTTGTGTGCTTTTTCACAGATTATTGATTTAATTGCATTTAACAAAATGTCCCAACTTTTCCGGAAATGGGGTGGTATTTCAGTTAACGATTACTTTATTTAAAGCAACAAAATGGTTTTTTTTTATGGTTTTAGTTTAGTTGGTAAACTATAATAACCCCGACATATTACATTGAAAACTAATTTAAAACAAGACTTTAATCTGTGAGAGTACATACTGTACATGATTCTACGTTATGTTAAGACCATAAACAATGCAAATACAGAGCGGTTTTGACAGTATAAACGTCTGAGCACCACATGAGTAGTCTAGCAAACCCTCATATTTCACGTCCTCGAACTAACCTGGTTTGCAGGCCTTCTGGTTTAAATTGTGGCTCTTTGAAGAGGAAGGTCATGTTGCGTTTGAGATATTTCACATGAGTGGTTTGCTGAAGGTCTGCAACATCATGGCTTTGATTCCTTCAAGAAGAAAAAAAAAATCACCAAACCAATGCATGCATATACTTTAATCATGTTTTAAGAAGATTATCTAATAATGCACAATGCATTTTATTTTGTAATGTCTGACTGCACTCAATGCTCAGTGTAAGCACAGATCTTTCTCTCATACAAAGTGGAGGATTATAAGCGATTAAAGAAGACAAAAACCAATACGGAAACACACTGAACGAAAAAATCCCTCAATGCACAGCAAGAAACTCACATGAGAAGCTGTGATAGGATAACTAGACTTACCAGTGGACCAATCACATCACAGCATCTCAAATGTTGGTTTGATGTTTCTGAAAGTTAAAGTGTGTGATCAGAATGATTTGGTTTAATTCCCTCCAAAAGCGTCTCTCACACACACACACAAGTTCACAAACACCAGCATCTGAATGCCAGAGAACATGACAGTGTTTCGTCTGACGCTCTGAAACACACTCGTTTATGATGGCGGGAAAACAGCCCGATTGAAGAAACTTAGTTTTATTACTGATATTTAGCCCCACACATGGGAAGGGAACTGTCACAACGTTGTGTAGATGATCAAACTCAAACATGATGATGAAGAGCGAATGCTTTAATAAATCCAAAGGTATAAAGGTAAATCTGAACAGAGAGAGCTATACACACACGAAACATCGATACCGGAAAGACAAACACAAACAGAACTGAATTAAAGTGCACGTGATAATGAGTGCACAGTTGATCATAATCGGTCTTTGTCAGGTAACGTCACACTCGTGATAAACGAAGTGCGTTATGGGCGTAGCCGCCATTTGTAAGGTATCGATGCTGGGGTTTTCTGTTGTTGGAGAATTGTTTTTTTTATTTCATTCTTTTTTCAAAATAAACCATCCTTAACATGATACTATCATCATCATCATCATCATCATCATCAATACAGCAAACCTATCTTTGCTGTTACTAACTTTACAGGATTTCTTTACATTCCTACAGAAGGATACAGTAACTTGGTGAAATGTCCGCGGGCTTTAAGAGATGTATAGTTTTTAAATTATTCACTGGGAACGTTATATGCGCTTTATTCTTTAAACAAGATAGATGACAATGCCCAAGTATGACGATGAGAAAGCAATGCGGGATCAGCAGTCCAGCAGTCTGCTGAGCTCATATATGGATCTATGTTCTGAAAGGATCACAATTTCTCCAAAAAACGGTACCTGCCACATTTATTGAGTTTATTGCGGTACGGCATTTTCTCAGTTTTCTTGTGCTTCTGCAGTTTTGCGAGTTATTTACTTGTTATCTCTACTCTCGTAATCTCTTCAATGATCACAGTCAGTAGCGATACATCAAAAATGGTGCCGCGGTGACGTCACAAACAACAAACCCACGTGTCTGACAAAGACCGATGAGTAACCAACAAGCAACCAACTCAGGCTATGTTTACACGGAAACGATTCTAAAGAGAAAACGCAAAAGTGGCGTTGCGTCATCACTTTTTATTCTGCGTTTAGACGAGCGTTTGTGTGGGAAATCCGCGTTGCAAATGGTGACGCAAAAGTGTGTGAAATTCAATGTAGTATGCACTTCAGGCGGCTAGGAGTGCATACTACAACAACACCAAGTCCAAGCGCCTGCGGACAACCTTCACTGTCAAGCAGACTTTTGCGTTTTTACCGTTTACACGGGAACGCGGCGGTGGAGCGTTTTGAAGATTTCCACTCTGGAGGGTGGTTTCACTTTTTTGCGTTTTTAAGCCTCAAAAAACGTTGTCGCCGTGTAAACGAAAGGCATATCCGATAAAATATTTTTACGTTTTCACCCGGAATCGTTCTCGTGTAAACGGTGTCTCAGGCAGAAAGTGGTGAGACACAAAAAGTCCAAACTAACAGAACGTATGACAGAAACGTCGATTTATTCGCAAATGTTTTATGCCATATTTTGCGCACAAGTTTGAATGGAAAAATAGTTTTTTTCCACAAGTAAGTTTTTTGAGATCTGACCTATCACACCAGACTTCAGTATCTTGGCAAATCTGAGCCAGTTTGAGACACTCTAAAGGAGACTTTTTGTTCTCACTGTTGTCTAAAGCTAAGTTTACATGGACACTTTGCTTCAATCTGAATTCATTCATTCCAAACGATGATTCTGATCGTAGTGTTTACATGAACACTAAAAAAAGTGATCGGGTCAATGTTTGTGTTTATACGTCACAAGCTTCTGATCAGCAACATGACATCATGACTTTTGCGTAAACATATACGCCACTTTCGAGTCAGGTGGCGTGTTATCTCTACGGATTTTGAGCTATCCGCGTGTATGCGTATATGTCTAATGCGTAATGCTAATGTGTAATGCGTAATATGTCCGTACACGCAGTCAAATCTCCAGTCATAAATGCCATTAACCCCAGTGACGGTTAAGTTTATGGACGGGGTTTAGGCAAGTCATATATTTATATAACGTTAAGTCAACGGCGTTCATAAACACGCTGAAAGGCGATTATGCGTCTTGATCGCACGCCAAAAATGGAAATACGAATTGGCGTGTCATACAGTACACACGCTACTTCATGAGATCAGTCTGTAATCAGAGTTAATCTTGTGACATACACACACTGCACGAGTATACAGACTTTCCCACTGTTGTTGCACACTAACCATCCTCCTTTTCTTTTCTTTTTTTAAAAAGCAGACTTAATATTGATCTATTTCGGGTCCTAATAATTATGCTCCGACGAGCAGATGAACCGTTGAGCCGTGCTGCCTGCATTTATCCTGTGGAGTCTGAAACGAGGACCATCCCGCTCCCCTTCACAGTTGTTTATGAGTCTATGTGGTGTTTTTAATATGCTTTAAGACAAGTCATGTGTAAATCATAAGTCGACAGCATTGCTGAGTATTTTCTGCTTAAAGGAACACCAGGGATCTTTTCAACCTTCATAATATATATCCAAGTCTCTTGTGATGGTACATCGAATTACAATATGTTGAATGACACGTCTGCCATAGCCTGACGGGCTCTGTAGCGTTTTTAATCGTACTTTCGGGTAGTAACCCGGCGAACTAAGAGAACTACAAAATTCGACTGCTTGACGGCATATAAGTCACTTCCCACCACCACCCCACTTCCTTAAAGTTACTTTAAAACTGCATTTGAAATCTCTGGTGTTTCTGACGTCACAAACGACCTTGTAACCAATCAGATCAATGTGTGATCCTCAACCAGTGGATCTCTGAGCTGAGTGAGTGAGTAGAGGTGGGGCTCATTTGCATATTCATAGAACTGCAAATACTTACTGAGACAAGGGTGTCGAGTAACATTCAAGATATTTTAAGACATGAAGACATGTTCAAGGAGAAAACATTTAAAAATGTCATTTTGGTGATCAAAGATGAGTGCTAAGAGGATTTCAGAATGACAGGGCATTAATTTATACGACACTTACTTCAGCAAGAAGAACAGCGCGTCATTCGTCATTACACATGCACAGTCTTTTCAGTTTCAGTTTACAATCCGATCAAGTGTTTACATGTCCTCTCCGTGGGATTAGAAAAGGAATAAACCCCTTAGAATCCAAATGAAATTTGAATCAGATCTGGCTGATTCATTCAGACTGACGTGGTTACTTGTGCAATCGGATTATTAGGGTCCATATAGCCCTTTTCACACAGAGATTCCAGAAAATACACAGAAAAAGTGACACGTGATTTGACCTGGGTTCGTTTGACTTTGGCTCATTCACACTGCCAGTGATTTTCCGGAATCAGAGTGTGTTCAAACACAACCCGTAAAGGCCCGTGTCAACGATGTGATATGTAACGTCTCAGCAGCGTATAAAGTTTGCTTATGAGCTGCGATTGAGCATTTTTTTTTCTCTGATTCAATGACTAGCACATTACGCACCGTTTCACTAGTTGGCGAACGATCCCGGCTTCAGCGTCATCATTACAACACGGCATTGATTATGGCATTTGTTCACACAGCACACGTTCCGGGACAGAACACGGCAGTGTTACTACTGTAGGTCCCCAACCCGGCATCAATCCCGGGTCGTGTTTGCGTTCATACAGAAGGAATTCTGGCAATTTCCGGGGATCAATGCAAGGGGGTTATGAGAAACAACTGAGATATTCAGGAGCTCGGGCTGTTAAACTCAAACGCGTCGAGTGCCTGAGCTTTGGTCCATCGACCCCTGAAGGACGTCCTGCGCCAGAACCCCTCCTGCCCCATCTCTGCCCAAAGCGCCAGGAATAATCAAGCCTAACGAAGCGTTCGCCCACGCTGACTGATAAATATTTATTTGAAGAAGCCAAATGAATCTGAATGGATACAAGAATGTGTGGTGAGCCTCATTGAACTGCTCTGGCATGCCTATAATAATCATAATAATGACAATAATCCCATGGACACGGGGCTCAAACACACACACATATAACTGAGGAAATTGTGTCATATTTATTGAGGTCATCTAGACATTCTGCCAATCACTTGTTAATCAATATCAATTATGATGTAGTCCAAAGCACAACTTCTATATATCAGAGCCAGTGTTTCTGAACTCCTGAAACGCCTCCATTGTAGTCTTGAGTTTCTTCCGGGAACGAACATGTCACAATATTCCTCATTTAAATAATTCATATGCAGAATAAAGGGGCGGGGCCTGGTTGAGTTAGTAGTGTGTTAAACTGGTGGTTATGGTAAGGGCAAGACATTTCCCAAACACATTTGAAACGCTCGACCAATCACAGCACAATGATCCAGCCAACCAATCAGAGTACTGTGTGCTTTTCAGGAGGAGGGGCTTCATAGAGACAGGGAGTAAACAGAGCGTTACTGACAGACTGGGAAGAGAGGAGCCGCAACAGTGGAGAATATGAGCGGGAAAACCTGTTCTAGTAAAGACTAAAACACAATTAAGACTCAAAAAGGGCATAATGACCTCTTAAAGGTATACAGTGCAGTTATTTTTCTATGAAGTTGAAAATTGAAATTGCAAAATACTTGTATATAGGCACCAAAATACTGTGCAACAACATCTGGCAATTTTTTTTACCATAGACTTAACAGGATATTTTCAACAGTGTGGGATCAGAATATTTACTTAAACACTGAAAAACACCTGACAAGTGTACCTGTGAGCTGCAGTTGAATACGTGCCAGTGTTTGTCGGGCAGTTCCTTGAGCTTTGACTTGACAGCTGGGACCAATTTCTGCCCCTGTAACCCCCCCGTGCGAAACCCTAAAGCCCCTGATCTGTCCACAGCCCCGTTTCTTCCCCCGCCAAGGGTTTGAGCCGCAGGGAACCGCCAGAGAGCCCAACACTTCCAATTATATCTCTACCGCCTTTCCAATAAACACACACACACCAGCACACAGGTGCAGGAATGTACAACACACACATACATACACACACACACATGCAATTACTTCCTCTTAGGGCCGTCACATCTGTGGAAAACGCCACATGAAACTGGGAATGTGTTTTACTGAGCAGTGGCACTAATGCAGGTGTGAGAGAATGACAGACAGAGAAAGAGCACACTGACCAAGAGTAAAGTCATGGCATCTACACTCTTAGAAAAAAAGAATCAATGCATCTCTATATAGAACTCTAGGGTTCTTGACTCAAGTTTAAAGAACCTTTATGTCAGAAAAGTTCAGTGAGGTTCTTGACACAATTTTAAAGAACTTTTATGCCGGAAAGATTCAATCGGGTTCTATATAGAACTCATGGTTCTTGACTCAATTTTAAAGAACGTTTATGCCAGAAAGATTTAAAGGGGTTCTATAATATAGAACTCTAGGGTTCTTGACTCAAGTTTAAAGAACCTTTATGTCAGAAAAGTTCAGTGAGGTTCTATATAGAACTCTAGGGTTCTTAACTCAATTTTAAATACCCCGTTATGCCCAAAAGGTTCAATGCAACTCTATATAGAACTCTAGGGTTCTTGACACAATTTTAAAGAACTTTTATGCCGAAAAGATTCAATCGGGTTCTATTTAGAACTCTAGGGTTCTTGACTCAATTTTAAATAACGTTTATGCCAGAAAGATTTCAATGGAGTTCAATATAGAACTCATGGTTCTTGACTCATTTTTAAAGAACCTTTAAGCCAGAAATATTTAATGGGGTTCTATATAGAACTCTAGGGTCCTTGACTCAATTTTAAAGAACCTTTATGCAAGAAATATTTAATGGGGTTCTATAATATAGAACTCCAGGGTTCCTGACTCAATTTTAAAGAACTTTTATACAAGAAATATTTAATGGGGTTCTATAATATAGAACTCTAGGGTTCTTGACTCAAGTTTAAAGAACCTTTATGTCAGAAAAGTTCAGTGAGGTTCTTGACACAATTTTAAAGAACTTTTATGCCGGAAAGATTCAATCGGGTTCTATTTAGAACTCTAGGGTTCTTGACTCAATTTTAAATAACGTTTATACCAGAAATATTTATTGGAGTTCTATATAGAACTCATGGTTCTTGACTCAATTTTAAAGAACGTTTATGCCAGAAAGATTTAAAGGGGTTCTATAATATAGAACTCTAGGGTTCTTGACTCAAGTTTAAAGAACCTTTATGCAAGAAATATTTAATGGGGTTCTATAATATAGAACTCCAGGGTTCCTGACTCAATTTTAAAGAACTTTTATACAAGAAATATTTAATGGGGTTCTATAATATAGAACTCTAGGGTTCTTAACTCAATTTTAAATAGCCCTTTATGCCCAAAAGGTTCAATGCAACTCTATATAGAACTCTAGGGTTCTTGACACAATTTTAAAGAACTTTTATGCCAGAAAGATTCAACCGGGTTCTATTTAGAACTCTAGGATTCTTGACTCAATTTTAAATAACGTTTATGCCAGAAAGGATTTAATGGAGTTCTATATAGAACTCATGGTTCTTGACTCAATTTTAAAGAACGTTTATGCCAGAAAGATTTAATGGTGTTCTATAATATAGAACTATAGGGTTCTTGACTCAATTTAAAAGAAATTTTATGCTAAAAAGGTTCAACAAGGATCTATATAAAACTCTACGGTTCTTGACTAAATTTTAAAGAATGTTTATGCCAGAAAGATTTAATGGGGTTCTATGTAGAACTCATGATTCTTGACTCAATTTTAAAGAACCTTTATGCCAGAAAGATTTAATGGGTTTCTATATAGAACTCTAGGGTTCTTGACTCCATTTTAAAGAACATATTATGCCACAAAGATTCTATACAAGGTGAAAGCTTTTATAGTTTTAGTAACCCAGTCCTGGCAACCACAATATACTAGCACTTTGGCAAAGAGTTTGACATCAGGAACAACCACTCGTATTTTCTTTAAAAACATAGGACTCTAGTTTCAATACCGCAATTATTCTGTGCCTCGTTGTTTCCAGAATGAATGCTAATCTACTAATGACTCAACAGGAGGCCCAAACTCTTGACAAAACCAAGCCAGAAGACAGAAAATTCACCTTGAGAATTTGCTGCAGTCTGGGAAAGACTGAGCGGTTTCGACGCGGGTCTGTCGGGACGTTTGGTGTCAGTTCAAGACCTGCGCGGAGCCCAGCGGGACGCTAATGACTTGCACTCGGCTTCGCGTTTAGTCGGTCCGTCTGCAGTTCCTGAGCGGAGCTGATTGTTTGGCTTTGTGGAGGGAAAACAGTAAGAGCAAAACTGAAGCTGGAAGGTCACTGGAAAAAAAAGAGAAAGACTCTGACTGTGAAAACAGCGACAGTTAATCAAATGGCATGTCCAAATATTTAGGGGCCGTAGAGTGACAGTGGGCCCTTTAAAAAACCCACAGCATTTCAGAAATGCAAGAATTAGGCAAATATTATGCTGCGTTCCAAGCAGGTTTTTGAACACGTAAATCACGACTTCAAACCACGACTTACGACTTTGTAGCATTCCAGGTCATTCACGCCAAACTACCAAGATGTAAACAAACCAGCATGGCGGACCTTACGGGGCTCACGCGCATTTGTAATAATTTCTAACGCCAAGGGTGCTTACTCCTTGTTTATTTGTGGGAAACTGAGGAAGAAAAATAGCGCATGAGGCAAGATAAGCTGTTATACCTTTTATTTTACTTTATTTGTATGTTTGGAAATGTATTTGGTATTAATTTATCCTTGCACTCAATGGACTGAAAACTAGTTCCCTATCGAGGGAACTCAACACTGCGTCGATAAAATCGACTCTTTGGGGACGCTCCCTAAGCGTGCGCCTCTGAAGTATGAATGAAACTAATCCAATCCTGATTGGTGTTGCGTCGTGACGTAACATGTGACGGCATACCCGGAAGTATAAAAGTGACGCTGTCACAACACACACTAGCTTTCGCTCTTCAGCAAGCGCTTTATGTTGAAACTGTCTGTCTTATTTGGTGTTGTTTGTCTTATTATTGAAAGAAAGTATGGCCAGTGAACAATTCAAGAGGTGTGTGCATCCCTGCCCTCGTTTCATCACGGGTGGGGACGCACACTCTCTATGTGTGTATTGTTTGGGAGTGCAGCACGCACGGGCAGCTCTCGAGGGGGCTGCTTGTGAAATGTGTGAGGCTTTGCCTATTAGAGTGCTGCGCTCCCGGCTGGCGTGCTTTGACGAGCACGGTCAGGCTCGCGTTCCCCAGGGTTCCGGTCCCGCATATGTCGAGGCGATGCGGCGACTGAGATCCTGGGGTTCGCAGCGGGATCTGGCGGAGGAGAGTGAGAATGCTGAGGCATTTTCTCGCTCGCCATCGGCTGGTCCCGCAGCCTCTGAGAGTGGTGTGGGAGCCCGCGCTGCGGTTTCTCCTACCCGCGATCAGGTCCCGGTGCTTGAGCTGTCTACTTCTGAGGAAGGGGACGTGCTCAGCATCGATGCGGACGACCGTGATCTCAGCACGCCATCACGCGGCCTGGGTTATGAGGAGCTGGTGGAGGTTGTGACACGCGCTGTGGCCAGACTAAACATCAGCTGGCCACAACATGAGCAGGAAACGCAAGTCACCAGTAAAATGGACGAGCGTTACCTGCAGCGCAGGTCACAGCCTCACCGCCGGGGTCTGCCGTTTTTCCCTGATCTCCATAAAGAGATCTCGAGAACGTGGGAAAGACCGCATTCGTCCCGTATTTCGAGTCCCAATGTAATAGATTACAGCAATGTTATGGGGGCTCGAGATATGGGATATGGGAAGATGCCGAAGGTGGAGGAGGCTTTAGCGAGCTATCTCTCTCCCGAATCGGCGTCTTCCCTAAAGACCCCGGTGTTGCCTAGTAAGCCCTGCAGAGAGACATCTGCATTGGTGGGCAGGGCTTACATGGCGGCGGGTCGGGCTGGTTCGTGTCTGCACTCAATGGCGATTTTGCAGGCATACCAGGCCGACCTCCTGAAAGATTTGGATGAGGGGGAGGGGCCTACTCCTGAAGATGTCGCGGAGTTGAGGAAGGCCGCAGATTTGTCTCTCCGGGCCACTAGGGAAGCGGCCAGCGCTATTGGCCGCTCTATGGCGGCCATGGTGGCCACGGAGAGGCATCTGTGGCTGAACTTATCCGGTATTAAAGAAAAGGATAGGTCCTTCCTGCTGGATGCGCCGCTTTCGGCTTCTGGCCTGTTCGGCGACGCCGTTAATTCGGTTGTCGACAGGTTTCAGGAGTCGAGAAAACAATCTGCGGCGTTCCAGCAGTACCTCCCCCGGAAAGCGAAGGCCAAATCTAGTAGGGGGGGGCAAAGCAATCAGCCCCAGCCATCAGCCAGCTCCTCCCACAGGGCAGAGCAGAAGGAGAGCGTTTCCTCTAGAGCCCCCCTCCGGGGTCTTGGCAACAGAGGAAACGCTCCCAAAAACCGAAGTCCTCCAGCCAGAGGGGCGACCTGAGGGACGTCATTCAGGCTAAGAGGACTTCGGAAAAGAGGTCCTAGCCAAGGCAGGACTTCAGAGGGCTGCCCCCTCCGCAGTGAGACAACCGAGGTTGTTCTCACAACGGGGCCCTCTAGGAAAAGATGCAGGTCCGCCGTTAACAGCGCTTCGGGCCGCATCAATTTCCAGCGAAAAGACACCAGAGGCCAGCCTCGAGAGGCTGGTACCCTTAGCAGATTTTGTAGAGGGATGGTATCATCTTCCCAACATATCTCCATGGGTCCTGCAGATAATACGAGTTGGGTACAGACTGCAGTTCGCGCACCGCCCCCCAAGTTCTCTGGGGTGGTGCTCACTGCGGTGGTCCCAGAGCAGGCTCAGGTGTTGGAACAAGAAGTACAGACTCTGCTGTCGAAAGGAGCCATAGAACGTGTTCTTCCGGTAGACAGGGAGTCCGGGTTTTACAGCCGGTACTTTATAGTTCCAAAGAAGGATGGGGGGTTAAGGCCAATTTTGGATCTCAGGGTGTTGAACCGGTCTCTGAGAAGGTTCAAATTCAGAATGTTGACCATTCCAACAATCGTGAGTCAAATCAGATCCGAGGACTGGTTTGTCACGATAGATCTGAAAGACGCCTATTTTCACATCTCCATCCTTCCTTGTCACAGGAGGTACCTGAGGTTCGCTTTCGGGGGCGAAGCATACCAATATCGGGTTCTTCCGTTCGGCCTAGCACTCTCTCCCCGCACATTTACCAAGTGTATGGACGTGGCCCTTGCTCCACTGAGACTTCAGGGGATTCGCGTATTGAATTATCTCGACGACTGGCTTATTTTGGCCCAGTCTCGGGAGATGGCAGTTCGGCATCGAGATGTCGTTCTTGGCCATATTCAAAAATTGGGGTTAAGACTCAATTTGAAGAAGAGTGTGCTAGAACCGTCCCAGGGCACGACCTTTTTGGGAGTCGTGTGGAACTCGATTACAATGCAGGCACGTATGTCTCCCGCACGTATCGAGTCAATTCTGGCGATGGTGTCCAGGGTGAGGCTAGGTCAGGCCGTCACTGTGAAACACTTTCAAAGGATGCTGGGCCTCATGGCAGCGGCATCCAACATTATTCCTCTGGGCCTCCTTCACATGAGGCCCCTCCAGTGGTGGTTGAAGACCAAGGGGTTCTCACCCAAAGGAAATCCGTTCCGTATGATCAGAGTAACGCGCAAGTGCCTTCAGTCTCTGCAAATATGGAAGAAGCCTTGGTTCCTATCCCAAGGGCCAGTGTTGGGGGTGTCATGTCGCCGGGAAACCGTTTCGACAGACGCCTCCCTTACGGGCTGGGGCGCGGTCATGGACGGCCGCTTTACCAGGGGTCTGTGGCAGGACCATCATCGCACTTGGCATATAAATTGCCTGGAGATGATGGCGGTATTCAAGGCTTTGAGGAGCTTCCTCCCAGACATCGAGGGTCGCCACGTCCTTATACGGACAGACAATACGTCAGTGGTGGCCTATCTGAACCGACAGGGGGGACTCAGATCGCGCCCTCTGTGCAAACTGGCGCATCAGATTATCCTTTGGTCCCAGGGAAAGATATTGTCAATAAGGGCAATGTATATCCCAGGGGTTCAGAATCGGGGAGCAGACATCCTGTCGAGGCAGGGGCTGAGGCCCGGGGAATGGAGACTTCATCCGGATGTGGTGAAGTCGATATGGGAGAGGTTCGGACCGATGGAAGTGGATCTGTTTGCGTCTCGAGAGACGTCCCACTGTCCACTTTGGTTCTCCCTCTCACATCCAGCCCCACTGGGGTTGGATGCCATGGTACAGGCTTGGCCGAGGCTTCGCCTGTATGCTTTCCCCCCGATCGCTCTGCTCCCAGGGGTCCTGGAGAGGGTCCGTCAAGAGGGCATCAGTCTACTTCTGGTTGCCCCGAGATGGCCGACACGAGTATGGTTCTCGGATATAATATCACTCCTCATAGCTCCGCCATGGCCGATTCCTCTGAGGAGGGATCTATTGTCTCAGGCGGAGGGCACAATCTTCCACCCTCGCCCAGAGTTGTGGAAGCTGTGGGTCTGGCCTCTGAGGGGGTTCAGTACCTAAATGCTGGCTTATCAGCTGAGGTGGTTGAAACCATACTTAGCTCTAGGGCCCCATCTACCAGGAGATTATATGGCCTCAAGTGGAAGGTGTTTCACACTTGGTGTGGAGAACGAAGGTTGGATCCAGTAAACTGCCCAGTGGCTTCAGTTCTGGAATTCCTTCAGGATCGTTTCTCTGCGGGTCTCTCCCCGTCCACTCTTAAGGTGTACGTGGCTGCCGTTTCGGCTTTCCACGCGCCAGTAGATGGTGGACCTCTGGGGAGGCACCAGTTGGTCATTAGGTTTCTCCGTGGTGCTTGGAGGATGAGGCCGGCGATCAGGTCCAGGGTGCCTGCCTGGGATCTGGCAATAGTTCTGGAAGGGTTGTCCCTCGCTCCCTTCGAACCTTTAGAGTCGGCTTCGCCTAAGGACTTAACGTTGAAAATGGTCTTTCTCTTAGCGATTACCTCTCTTAAGAGGGTGGGAGATCTCCAGGCCCTGGCGGTAACGCCAGCTTGCTTGGAGTTTGCCCCTGGCAAAGTAAAGGCCTTTTTGCACCCGAGTCCGGGCTACGTGCCTAAAGTTCCTTCGAGTACGGCTCGCTCTGTAGTCCTTCAGGCATTCCATCCTCCACCTCATGTGTCGGCGGGAGAAGAGAGGCTTCACTTGCTCTGCCCCGTCAGAGCTTTGAGTGTATACTTGGAAAAGTCTGCTTCTTGGAGAAGATCTGACCAGTTGTTAGTATGCTTTGGGTCACCTAAGAGGGGGCTCCCGGCGACCAAACAAACTATAAGTAACTGGATTGTCCAGGCTATTACTGAGGCTTACAAGGTGCGTGGGGTTCCTTCACCTTTGGCCTTAAGGGCTCACTCGACTAGAGGCATGGCTTCCTCTAGGGCCCTTCTGTCGGGAGTACCTCTGCAGGAGATTTGTGAGGCAGCCGGCTGGGCTACCCCGCATACTTTCATCAGGTTTTACAGTCTCAGCCTTCCCAGTACGCCCGGTGCACACGTACTCGGCCCTTGCTGAGTGCCTAATCAGTTTCACTCTGGGGCGGGTCTGTTCGGTGCGTGGCCTAGTGGGTACTCGTTCCCCAAAGAGTCGATTTTATCGACGCAGTGTTGAGTTCCCTCGATAGGGAACGTCTCGGGTTATGACTATAACCCTTGTTCCCTGAGAAGGGAACGAGACACTGCGTCGTGTTGCCACGCCCCCTTTAGACCCTTGAGCGTCTTGCTTCATCGCGAGGCTAGTGTGTGTTGTGACAGCGTCACTTTTATACTTCCGGGTATGCCGTCACATGTTACGTCACGACGCAACACCAATCAGGATTGGATTAGTTTCATTCATACTTCAGAGGCGCACGCTTAGGGAGCGTCCCCAAAGAGTCGATTTTATCGACGCAGTGTCTCGTTCCCTTCTCAGGGAACAAGGGTTATAGTCATAACCCGAGACGTTAACGTTATATTGTCCTAAAGTGTATTCTCACCGTGTACCGCCTGCAGAAACACTGCATCAGTAGGGGCTGTCGGGCTATGTGATGTCAGAACTCGTAACTGGGAGTACATCGGTCTAGTACGAGTTCACGGGTGGGAAGTCACGAGTTTGACTGCCGTTCCAGTGCACTTTCACGGGTATAAGGTTGGAAAAACACGAGTTACAGGTTGCCTGGAACGCGGCATTACATACAGTACAAACGTATGTCGTATTTTTGATGCACAGCAATTCCAAATATGAAACATCAATATGTTGGCTTGACAAAAATTTTTTTTAAAAAATGGACAGAAATCATATTTAAGGTCATTCTTCTGAGAGTGATCAGACTTATGGACAACATAAAAAAAAAAACCATGCAACCCAAGCCAACATGCTAATTCATAGTAGCAATGTGCTAAATCATGTTAGCAACATGCTTATTCATAATAACATGCTAAAACAATGCATCATGTTAAACATGTAATTTATACTAACGATGTGCTAACAGCAAGCTAAATCATGTTGGCAATATGTTAAAATCTGTTGACAACAAACTAAATTAAGTTAGCAACAAGCTAATTCATAATAACACGTTAAAACAATGCATTATGTTGAATACAGGCAGCATGTTAAATTATGATAGCAGCATGCTAATTCATACTAGCGATGTGCTAACAGCAAACTAAATCATGTTAGCAATGTTAAAATATGCTAGCAACATGCTAATTCATGCTAGCAATGTGTTAAAACATACCAGCAGTGTGTTAAATCATGCTAGATATGTGCCAATTCATGATAGCAGCACGTTAAATCATGCTAGCAAGCTGCTAATTCAAGCTAGCAATGTGCTAAAACATGCTTAACAACATTTCCAAACTCTCAGACCCGGCACTGTCAAGCCAACATAATAGTTTGTCCAAACAAACTTTTTTTTCTTCTTTAAACTGCATGTCAAAATAAAAGGACACGTTTAAATGTTATTCAATGAAAATACATTTTCAAAAGTGCAGCTTACTTTCCGAATAAAATGGCAACGCAATTCAATGAAAACAAATTGTAAATACGGGTACATTTTAATTAATAAAAAATCTTAGCATATGTTTTCTTTGCTTGTTTGTCATAAGCAATTAATAAATATCAGTGTTTTTGGTAACATTACTCGTGCTTTGAGCTTTCAGCATGAAAAGCGTTTGGTAAATACTGTTTTTGAAGAATAATGCAGATCAAAGCATCTTAAAGCACGACTCTTTCCACGAGACCTCCAGCTGCTCAGTTCCAGTACCCATGATTCACTGCTCAAGACATCAAACCAAATGAGTCAGTTTCCTTCCATGATTCCCAGGTCTGTTCAGGAATAAAACTCTTTAAATCCCTGCAGGTTTTCACAATGGCACAGAGATCAAACGCTGGAGTTTGAGTGTGTGTGGCACCAATATCTCTCTCTCTACATGCATGTCCTTATGTCTCTGTCAGTGTCATCCTGCGAGCTGTCAATCATCACCGTGGCAACACAGGTGCGACTGTCTCTCGGATCTGGCTAGTTTCCGCCACAGAACAAAAACTACGAAAAATATGGTATAGAAAAAGGTAATTACAACTTTTACCTCACAACTCAGACTTTTTTCTCTGTTTGCGAGTTTATATCTCGCGATTGCAAGTACAAAACCTGCAATTGCAAGATTCCACCTTACACTTTTCTCACACAAATGTAAGATGAAGTTTGCAATTACCATTTTTTGTACTGTTATTCTCCCTATTTTCTCACAGTTGCGAAGTTATATCTCGCGGTTGCAAGTATTAAACTTGTAATTGCTCATTCACTTCTGATTTTTTCCCCAGGAATTAGATAAAAACTCAAAATTGCAAGATGAAGTTTGCAATAAAAAAAAACTAACTTTTTTTGTACTGTTCTCACAGTTGGGAGTTTACATTGCAATTGCAAGTAATAAACTCATAGTTCCAAGCTTACATCTCACACTTCTGGGTTTTTACCCCCCTTGAATTATGAGAAAAAAGGTCACAAATGTAAGATGAAGTTATTACCTTTTTTATTTGAATAAATTCTGACTTTTTTACCTCACAGTTTACATTCTGGAGAAAAAGCTTCCATTGATCTGCACTGGAGCAGCTGCAGGGAGTCAGATTCCCTCTTTCTTGCATTGGTTTAGAGTTTTTCCACACACACACACACACACACACACACACACACTAACCTGCTGTAGTAGAGACACATCTGTTTTGTTTAAAGCCACTTTTTTTCTCTCCTCACGTCCAGAACGCGGTTGGCACTTTGCAGAGAATGAATGCAGCTGTAGGGGAAATACCAAAGCTCTCGTGAATGTTATTAAAACCATTAGCCCGCTCTCTTCAAACACACACACACACACACACTCGCGTACACACACACCGCACGGCTCTAAAATAGCTCTAATCAAAAGAGGATGTTAGTTTTGAACTAATAATCCAAAAGGTTAATTGAAAGCATCATGTGCATGTTTCAATTCTCTGGTGTTAAAATACAGACAAAGAAATGGGATTCCTGGACATGTGCTTGGACAGATCGAGCAAGACAGACTTAACGAACGAGTGCGAACGATCTGGTGTGTATAAATAGAGGTTTGGATCTGCTGGTTTCTCCACAAGCGACGGCTCTTGCAACAGGCTGCCAGAGATTCAGGAGTGTGTTTGATTTGGACCAGAACACAGCTGACAGAAAACACTATTCCTATTCAGACTACTGTAAATAAATTAAATAAAATTAAATTAAATAATAAAAATAAAACATATAACGACATTTTTTTACTGGAAATATATAAAGGTATAAATACATAAAAGTATAAAATACAAAAGAAATGCAAAACAAAATTTACAAAATAATAAATACTTTTAAATGAAATAAAAAAATGAAACAAAACAAAGCAAATGGAAATAAACTAAAATATGAAAATAAATTAATTAACTGGAAATATGAAAAAAAAAACATGTTTAAAATAATAAAAAATAAAATAAATGAAACATAAATTGGACAAATACATAAATTAAAATGCATTAAAATAAAATAAAATTAAACTGAAATAAATTGACTGGAAATAAAATATTTCAAATAATAAAAAAATATAAAATTGAGGAAAATATATCAAAATAAAATATCTTAAATATTACATTTCAAAAATACATTTCTTCAAGATTCTTTACAGCGCATTCTTCTCAGGGGTAAAACATAATTCAATCATTCAAAAGTGAAATAATATTTAACAATAGATAAAAAGTTTTTTTTTTAAATAATTAAAAAATAATAATAATTGTCTGTCATGTTTTCAGTGTTTTTCATGATGGTATTCTTTGAATCAACTTATAAATACCAAGGTAATCATTCAGTACAATGGTATATATTAATGTATCATGGCATAAGCATCTATATAAGGCCACTGTTTACATTTTTAAGGGGTCAAAAAAAGTTTTCCAAAGTGAAATTTATAATATTGGATTAAATATATATTCGTTTTTTTGAGAGTGTTAAATATCCCAGAAGAGCTTCAGTTTTATAAACCAATGCGCACTATGATCATAATACACAAACCCGTTATGGTCTAAATGAAGGTCTCTCTCTCTCTCTCTCTCGTTGGAAACACAGTAAAGCAGGCCAAAGTTCAATAGGGTTGCTAAGCAACAGGCTTGTCAGTGCCTGGAGCTGATTGTCATGGCCTGCAGTGATGCCAGGCTGCCTCTCTGTGCCAACCAATGCCAACCGAGCCGCCATCTTTAACCACGTCACAGGGACGTCCTGATGGCTTTACTGGAAGTTACTGGAGACTGAGAGAGAGAGAAAGAGAGAGAGACGGCTACAGGGGCCCGGAAGGGACATGCGTTCGGTTCCTCTGCTCCACCGCAGCGTTGGGACTCAGGGAACGACAGGAGGAGGAAGAGGAGGAAGAGGAGGAGAGGAAACACTCATGACAAACGATGATGAGGTGACAGACTCCCGCACACATCCGTCACATGTGTCAACATACGCATCTGTCCCGTTTCAAACATGAAGGACGAGAGACTGAATCACACAATTAGTTTCAATCTAAAAATCTATTCTATAAGAAAGTAAAATCTATCTATAAAAAAGTTTTTAAGTTGGCTAATTCAAAATAAATCAGTTTAGTTGGGTCAACACTATTTAGCTGGTTTAGGTCCACTTGGTTTGCTCAGTTATGTTTAACTTTATTAGGTCCAACTAATATACTGAGGTTTAATACATCCATAATTAATAAGAAAACAAAAAAAAAAGTGTGTGTTTACTTAAAATAACTGAAGAAGCCTGAAGAAGCTGGCTTCGAGATACTTCTTCTAACTCAAGAAGAAGCATGATGCATTATAATATCCATAATGCACATATTAATGCATTATATATTTTTATAAATAACTGTAACATGCATTAAAATGCATTATAAATGGATTATAATATTTGCAGATTCTGAAATAGTTTTTTTATCATGGGTTTTAATGTATTATACTATATAAAAGTGTGTTCATTGATTAGATAATGAATTATAACTGCAGTTACAGTTATTCTTGAGACTATACAATGCATTAAGAGGCATAATGAATGCATTATAAATACTTTTATAATGGCTTTAACATAAATACATAAAGGCTTTAAGTAAAATGTTACCAAAGTTTTAATTTAGCTAATTCAAAATAAATCAGTTTTGTTGGGTCAACACAATTTAGTTGGTTTAGGTCCACTTGGTTTACTCAATTATGTTTAACTTTATTACACTTTTAACTTTATTGTATTCGCCAAACTAAATTTCCTCATGTTGGTCCAACTAATTTGCTGAAGTTTAATTAATTTTCCTATATGTTTAAACATGCAGTTTAGTTCATAATTATATGCAAATAAGAATTATATACTGACATCAGCATGAAGGGGAAGTGATGTAATCCAGATTGGATTATTAAGAAAAACGGAGTCAAATGATATCTCACATCACAGACACAGCTTGAAAACCAGTCAAGAAGTTGTTGAATCCAACTGAACCAATCAGCAGCCTTCTCCCGATTACATCATCGGTTCTAATGGCGACTGAGATGTAGCCAGCGATCCTCGAACCTCCACACACACGGTTCCTTCACAAGAGTCTTCAAGCTCCTGGAATACTGTGGGAAATCAAAGAGGATCATCTGATTTTTGGCAGTGTAAAAGGTCACTGCAAATGACCATAGAAGCCTGTCTAAATCCAGACATAAACACACACAAACATTAATCACACACACAAATTCACACACTCAACCCAAAGCTTTTTTGTTTACATTCCAGCATTCGTATGCCGTGCTGCGTGTGTGTTTCATGCAGGTGGATGTCTGAACTTGCAAGAGCATTTATTTTAGAGTGTGTCAGGTCGACCGCCCTCCTTAACACATACACACACACAGCCCCCAAATTAAAATTAACACTCACCAAGCACCAAACGTGAGAAAAAATAGATCTGGCAAGTAAATAATAGTTGTAAAATATGAAGTTAATTGCTATAGCTGTCTGGCTACTTAATACATGGAATATAATACATAGTTTAAATGGTGGAGTTGCTCTGAGTAGTTGTCATGGTCTTCCGGATGGTTACTAGGGTGTTGCTATTAAGTTGCTAAAATGTTTGTGGTTTCAATGGCATTACAAGTGTCTTCTGGCTGTAAGGCATTACTAGGGTGTTCAGAGTGTTTTCCATGCACTTACTAGACAGTTGACAAGGTGTTCTGGCTAATAACTGGGTGTTACTAGGGTGTTGCTAAAGTGTTTTGAGTGGTTGCTACAGCATTGCAAGTGCCTTCTGGCTGTATAGTCTGGGTAAGGCTGTTCTAAATGGTTGCTAGGCACTAACTAATTTGTCAGGGTGTGTTAGGTAGTTACTGGGATGTTGTTAGGCAGTTGCTAACGTGTTTTAAATTGTTTCTACAACATTACAAATGTCTACTGGATGTTTTTTTTCCCAAGTAAGATAGAACAAGCGTGATCTGAGTGGTGCTAGGTACTTACTAGACAGTAGCCTGGTGTTACTGTGTAGTTACTAGGGTGTTGCAAAAGTGTTTTGAATGGTTGCTAAGTTTATAGCTGTTGCATTTTCTAGGTAAGGTGTTGCGAGTGGTTGCTCAGGGTAGTCAGGGTGTTACTAGGGTGTTGCTGAAGTGTTTTGAGTGGTTGCTACAGCAATCTGGCTTTTTTCAGGGAAAGGTGTTAGCAGAATGTTCTGAGTGGTTGCTCAGGGTGTTACTAGGGTGTTGCTAAGAAGTTGCTAAAGTGTTTTGAGTGGTTGCTACAGCATTCTCGCATTTTTCAGGGTAAGATATTAGCAGGGTGTTCTGAGTGGTTGCTCAGGGTGTTACTAGGGTGTTGCTAGGAAGTTGCTAAAACGTTTTGAGTGGTTGCTACAGCATTTTGGCTTTTTTCAGGGTAAGGTGTTAGTAGGATATTCTGAGTGGTTGCTAAGGGTTGTCAGGGTGTTACAAGGGTGTTGCTAAAGTGTTTTGAGTGGTTGCTACAGCATTGCAAGTGCCTTCTGGCTGTATAGTCTGGGTAAGGCTGTTCTTAATGGTTGCTAAGCACTAACTAATTTGTCAGGGTGTGTTAGGTAGTTACTGGGATGTTGTTAGGCAGTTGCTAACGTGTTTTAAATTGTTTCTACAACATTACAAATGTCTACTGGATGTTTTTTTTCCCCAAGTAAGATATAACAAGCGTGATCTGAGTGCTGCTAGGTACTTACTAGACAGTAGCCTGGTGTTACTGTGTAGTTAGGTGTTGCAAAAGTGTTTTGAATGGTTGCTAAGTTTATAGCTGTTGCATTTTCTGGGTAAGGTGTTCAGAGTGGTTGCTCAGGGTTGTCAGGGTGTTACTAGGGTGTTGCTAAAATGATTTGAGTGGTTGCTACAGCAATCTGGCTTTTTTCAGGGAAAGGTGTTAATAGGATGTTCTGAGTGGTTGCTCAGGGTATTACTGGGGTGTTGCTAAGAAGTTGCTAAAGGGTTTTGAGTGGTTGCTACAGTATTCTTGCATTTTTCAGGGTAAGGTGTCAGTAGGATATTCTGAGTGGTTGCTACAGCATTGCAAGTGCCTTCTGGCTGTATAGTCTGGGTAAGGCTGTTCTAGATGGTTGCTAAGCACTAACTAATTTATCAGGGTGTGTTAGGTAGTTACTGGGATGTTGTTAGGCAGTTGCTAACGTGTTTTAAATTGTTTCTACAACATTACAAATGTCTAATGGATGTTTTTTCCCCCCCAAGTAAGATATAACAAGCGTGATCTGAGTGGTGCTAGGTACTT